ATAGATTCGAGACCTTTGTCTGGGGAAAAGCAGGTGGAGATTTTTTCCCACATTGTGGGTTGTCTCTTCACACTGCTGGTGGTTTCTCTTGCTGTGCGGAAGCTTTTTAGTAAGAAGAGATCCCACTTGTTGATTGTTTGTGCTAGTTCACGGGCAACTGAGGTTTTGCTCATAAAATCTAGAAAAGCTATTTTCTATTTTGCTTTTACAACTTGGGTGAAAAAGAGAAGAATTATCATCTTTTTAAGATCTCCTGTATTAATAATAACATCTGGAGATTTGGATTTTTCATGACACTCAGAACTGGTGGCTGTTTTTTTGTGACGATTTCTCTAAAGAAAACCAAAGGTAAATGAGAATTGTGGGCTGGGAGACCTGGAGAAATGGTGAAATGTGTATTTGGTGTTCTGCATACTTCGAGGCAAAAAGACTGGCAGGGCTGTTTTGGTGAGTGGATCCGGGAGGGAGGCAGCGTTGCCATGTGCTGGGTTCGGGCTGGGTTGGGAGGATTACATTTGATAGGGCTTGGGAAAGACTATAAAATGCTTACTAAATAAAGCATTAAAAAGAACGATTACCAAGCTGTTCTACATCAGATATAGGGGCGGTACCTTTTAATAATTTCATTGTTCTAAAGGACAGGCTGTGTTCAAAGCGGGAAGAAGGCTGAGGAGCCAGATGTGCACCTTCTGGGAGGAGTTGACTGGAGGGGCCCTGTGGACCCCGCCTCAGAAGACAAGGGCGGCAGAGGGCAGCCGTCGGAGCCCATAGGGCGGGCTGCACCCCGACACTGGTTACGCTGTGCGCCTGAGCAGGGCCCTGCTCTATCCCATTCCCGCTCTGAGCGAGAGCCACTGCTGGGGCCTCCACACTAGCACCATCAGGGCAGCTCTGCTCTTCGTGTTCTCCACTGTGAAGAAAACCCGAACAGGCCAGCCACCCCGAGTGGGCGTGTGCCACCAGGGTTCTCCTCAGAACCCTGTTCCAGGGTCCACGAAACTGTGCCGGGCAGCGCTGCCTCCAGGGCTCGGCATTGCATCACGTGCGAACGTATGGAAGGATTTCCGTGGCGCTCCTCGGAATTTTTACGGTTGTTACATGTGTTGGTTGTAACAAGTATACATTGGTTGTAACAAGTATATTGTGACTGACTGATTTCATATTGCCTTTGGGGTCGGGCGATGAAGAGTTCGTGACTGAGTCCAGCGTGACATCATTTCTTGGGAAAAGCAAGTGACTTAAATCATTTTGTCACGAGGAGCAGAAAACAGGCATCGGGAAGCCCCTGACCCTGTTCAGGCGTGGGCTGAAGAAAGGCTGGGGAGAGGAGACCAGACTGGCTAAGAGGCGGTTAGAAAAAGTCATCAAATACCCGAAAAAGAAAAAACGAGAAAGCTCCTCGGTTAGCCTGGGGTGGAAACCGCAGGAATTATCACCACAGTCTCCATGTCCACATGCGTGATATGGCACGGCAACCCACACAGCAGTGAGGAGGAAAAGCTAAACGGGAACAATCCAGAGGACACACCCGAGCTTGCAGTTCTGTCCTGACCTCTGCTATGTGGGAGGAACGCTCTCAGGCGTCACTCAGCATGGAAGTTACTATCTTCCTGCCAAGAGCCAGGTGATCTATGGAGCCCCTCCGCCTGCCCACGCGGGAGAGGCACTTCCCGGGTAGGAGGCAGCTGCCCCAGGCACTGCACCCGGAGTTTATTGGAGGTGGCTGCGCTTCCTCTGCCGCCGGTCTCAGGCAGACCCGGAGCAGTAAATTAAGAAAAGCAGCTGCTGGCGCTATAAAAACTGAGGATAAAAGTCTGCATTGAAAACCAGAGGCCTGAGCAGCTCCAGGAAGACATGCTGGGGGGTGGGGGGGTGGATGTGGACCGCCACGGGACGAGGGTGGTGGAGGAAGGCAGAGAAAGACAGGCGCAGGAGACAGCACGGAAGCGGACGCACACTGGGCGCGGACGCACACTGGGCACGTCCCCAGCACCGGGAGGCTGGAGTAACGGCCCCTCCGCCCAGGCCGTCCGAGGGCGCTGGGCGTGCGTCTGTGTGTGGGGCCGCTCACCCACCAAGTCTGACTAGCCGGACGCAGCTGCCTAAAGCAGTAGGTCAAGAAGGATGGAAGCGTGAGCCTGGACGCCAGAAATGGTCCGGCCGGCGCCCTTGGGTGCAGAGCGGGCGCGCACCTCGCACGCGGAAGGGAAAGTGAGCCGCCCAGGGGAGCTCAGGTCTTCACAGACGCTGGCCGCTGACAGGCACAGTCCTCGGCGACCCCAGGCCAGGCCTTCTCGGGGTTAGGGGCCCAAGGGCTCCTTCAGGGTGTCGGTCAAGACTGTTACTGAGACAGGCAGATCCTTGAAAACAGCTCGGGCAGAGGACAGCACTGCCCCTCGGGGCTCAGGCCCGCCCGCCCAGCCTCCGGGTCACCGCACAGCCCGCGTGCACCCCTGCAGGTCCGCGGCGTGCGCCAGGCGCTGTGGAATACAGCGAGAAGTCTGTCTGCGGCCAGCACTGCTTTGGGATTTCCCGCTTCTTTCAAAGACCAAGGCATGCGGGGTGGGGGTGGGGGTCGCACCTCATCTGAGAGGAAGCGGGTCCGAGGTTACACTGAAGGAGGAGGCGAGGCTGTGCGCACTCGGCTGATCGGACTGCAGGAAGCAGGCGTCACCCGGGAGGGACACAGGGGACCGAGACCTGGATTCCCGACCAGCCTGCACGCCTGTGGCTGGGCTGTCCCGCTATGGAATCACATTTCCGGCCGTCACGGCCCCGTGGAAGAGGCTGAATGTTCGCTCTGCTCAGCTGATGCGGAGCGACATTAAATACAGCAAGGCAGGCGCAGTGGCACCCAGCGGCAGCCCCGCTGCTCAGGAGACCGAGGCAGGAGATCACTGCAGCCAGCCGGGGCCACACAGTGGGGCCGCAGCTCGGACCCAGCCAGCAGCCAAGCAAACGGGAGTCAGCACTGACGCTGTCATGGGAGGGCAAGCCCGTGCCCGCCTGGCGGGCAGAGAAGCCTTGCTTCTGACGTTTAACCTTCACAGCATGACGTTAAACACATACAGGGCAGCTCCTAGCACTGTGGAAAGATTAACGTGCTTACTGCTTACAAAAGCCCAAGAGTCAGACACTAAGACTTCATGATGGAAAAAGCCAAGCATGTCCATTAAAGGACTTTTATTTTGAGGCACTGGGGGTTGAACGTTCGGCCTTTGCATTAACTTACACCCTCAGCCCTCTCCTTATTTTTATATTTGACATCGTGTCCCTAACTCTCCAAGTTGCCCAGGCTGAGCTCAAAACTGTAATCTTCCTGCCTCAGCCTCCCAGAGTGCAGGGATTACAGGCGTGCCCTACCCCACGCCTGGCTGATGGTCAGGGACTGGCCCAAGGCCACTCAGCAGAACCAAGACAGGAGTTCAGGAGATCCCGGGTTCCCCGCGGGTCCAGAGCAGCGAACCCAGGCAGAGTCCCGCGTCCAAGCTGGGCTCCCACCTGGTCTCTGGTCTCCCAAGGCTGGGCGCCAAAGGCTTTTCCTCGAGACCTTTCCATGCTGCCTTGAGAATCCGAGGGAATCTGGCTACTGCATAACGTTCAGTATTCGGACACTGCACAGGCCTGCTGGTAAAAGATACTTGAATCTCCCGATGTGGCTTCTAACTCCCCGCGTTCTCCTCGGCAGGCCCTGCCGGCCCGGGCCGCCGCCTCAGAGGAAGTGGGACCAGGTGACTGGGGCGAGGACTGCACTCCAGCGTGGGAAGGGGGCGCGTGGAGCCTGGGCCCCTCCCCGCCCCGCGGATCCGGCTGCACCTCTTCCTCCGACCACCCCCACCGCCAGCAGCGCCAGAACCAGCCCAGCACCCCGTGGCTGCGCCTGCGCCCACAGACCCACACAGAGGCGCAGAGCTGCCGTGGCTTAGGGCTCCTCACGCACGGCCTCTTGAGCAGAAGGGCCCGAGGGCGCTGTGATACAGGGGCCGCGCTCACAGGGTCATCTTTCTGCAAAACGCAAATCCCATTGCTTCCCAAGCCCCGACATCGCCCGTGGGAGCAAGCTCAGAATTCAAGTCAGAAAACATTACATGTACCGTGAGAAGCATAAATTTAACAGCAATACCTTGATGTGAAAGCCGCTTTCAAGTCTGGACTTGTTGATGAAGTTGTCCTCTGGGATCCTCCAGCCGATTTCACCAACGTATCCGTGTTTATATCTTGCCGGCCAGTTTCTGTCCGAGGCAGCTCTCCATAAGTACCTGAGGTCTCCGGTCTTTTCCGACGAGGGACGCTTGTCTCCTATGTAGGAGGTGTGCTGCTCAACTCTAGGCAAATGATCCTTCTTATAATCCGGACCTTGGAGGGACAGAAAAGCATACTATTAAAAAGTCTCCCTGCTTTATTGCAAGGAGCTTGTAACAGTGGGAGTAACAGTGGCCAATGCATACGTACACTTGCCGTGCTATGCCTTTCAGCGAGGTGATCTCATTCATCCTCATTAATCTCCGAACGAGATGGGATCACTTTCCTATTTGGGGAAAGTGAACGAAGCACATCAGGGTTGGCTATTGGTGGAGCAAGCTCTTCACACCCACACAGGCTGCCTTGAAGGCCTGGGCCTGATTTCCCCACCCAGCTGCTTTGTTTGTGACCAAGTTGGTGCTGCCGTGTTTCACAGACAGTGCTAAAATCGCTGGTGCACCACCGTTGCTGGGCACAGGGCTTCAGACACCTGGGTGCTTATTCAGACAGGTGAAATCTGAAATGAGACTGTGCATGCTCTGCGAATGTTTAGAGCTGACTGGAACATTGAGAAAGTTGCTAGGCAGGACACTTGCGACAGATGGAGGCCAAAGCCGAGGGTATTTAATAAAGTCTGGTATTCTCAGTGTAAAGCGGGGAACACAAAATAATGAGATGTGAAAGTGGTTGAAACAAGCGAAACTGAGAGGTGTGGGGAAGGCCACCTCAGTGAATCCGGTGTTTAAGGCTGAGGATGTGAGCGTGAAACAGAGCGAGGGCTTTCTGGACGGATGGGACTAGGCACAAACGGACCACGGAGTCACTGCGCAGGAGGAATTTCAACACCCCAGACCCAAGAGGGGTGGAGGATGATATGGGGAGAAGGGGCACACAAAGAGAACATCCCGTTTGCATCCCGGAAGTCCGCCAGGGACCTCGGGCAGCAGAGGCCGTGCTGCAGGCGGGTGAGCGAGGTTGAGGAGAACCTGCCCTGCCAGGCCCTGCCGAGGGAGGTCCACGTGCCAGCGAGGCGAGATGACTTTCTGCTCTGCAGAAGCAGGGTGCAGGCAGGTGCCTTGCGGCCTCCTGACACCCGCCTCCCACCAGCACTGGGCGCTCACGGTGCAGTGATCCCTCCCAATGCAGGGTGGCCCCCTCTCTCCCTGCCTCTCCCTGCCTTGGGTTCTCACTTAGATGGAACTGCTCTGGTGAGCAGAGAACGGCCGGAGCAGGGAGAACTGTTCTCCAGCCCTCCGGCAGCCTTCGAGGCCTCACCTGCACAACTCCCACCCCGGGGAGATTTCTGCAGTGTCCTCCACACGGGGGCACTGAGGAACTGAGATTCTTGCTGGAATTCAGGCCAGCCCTCCCCCGTTCCCATCAGATGCAGCTCCCGGGAGTGACGGTGTATGTATGCTGGGGACGGTGCTCCGTACTCAGGTACACCTAGCGACAGGCTTGTGGCGTTTGCCTACCAAAGCATGCAGAGTTGTAGGCAGCCTGGACTAACTTAGCCTCTTCGTAAGGACAGTCATACCTCAGTGCTCAGCTGCTTCAAAAGTCACTGGATTTGGTACTCAGCACATTTGACATGAAAATTTGGTGCCTCCCAGAACCAGTGAACAAGTGCCAGGGCATCACGTACACAATCCGGAGTTTCTCAAGCTGATTTAATATGACTTTTTCCCTACCAGTTGACCTATACACCGCCTACAGACACGAAAAGATTGGGGAAATAATGTCCCTTTCATATGTTTCAGTTAGCCTTCAAATTTTGTCACTTAACATACCGCCATAAAAGTGAGAGCATTCTGCAGGCTGCCAGAAATTGTTTACAAAGGGCCATTATTTGCCAGAAAATATTGTGCTGCTATAATAAAATACTCAGACTGGGTAATTTATTAAGAACAGAAATGTATTTTTTCACAGTTCTGGAGTCCAAGGTCGAGTGGAGCAGGCTGAATGTCTAGGGAGAGCCACTCTGTGCTGTCAAGATGGTTCCTGCTGCCACATGCATGCATAGCAGGAAGCAAGAGGACTAGAGAGCTGTACACTGCCCTAGAAAACCTTTTATACAAGCCTTAACCCTAATACCAGAGGAGGAGCCTTCATGGCCTAGCCACCTGGTAGTATATCACACTGGCCATTAAGTTTCAATGCCTAAAATTTGGGAAGACATATTCAAACCGTAGCACCAGCTGAGTCAAAAGCTCTTGGCCTGTGGTTGCGACAGTCAAGCTTGATTGTGTTACCGTGATGAGCTCAGGAGCTACTCGTGGGTGTGTCTGGGTGGGTCATGGAGGTGTGACTTAGGAACTCTACCTGGTCCCTGGCCCCTTTGTCTCTGGCACTACTCTGCTTCCTGGCCTCCGTGAACTGAGCAGCTTTTCTCCGCAAGACCCTTCCACCACGATGGTCCTGCCTGGGAGACAGCTCACCATGGCCTGAATCCCTGTAAGGTGTGAGCCAAATTAAGCCTCCCCCGCTGTGGGCATCTGGCACTGTATCCAGTGATGGGAGAGATGGCTGATAGAGTGGTGGAAAGTGTGTGCGTCTGCAACCCACATGTGGGTCCGGGCAGGTGCTCCGCAACTGTCATCGACTCCTGAAAGATCTCTAAGCCTCTGCCACCTTATCTGTGTTTTGGAAGTAGCTCAATGCAGTGCACATGGTGCAGGGCCTGGCTCACGGGAAGACCCGGCCTGGCACCTGCCCACGAGAAGCATGTGGATGCTGTCGGCACAGACAGACCCCACATTCATAGCCATCGCCTCCACCTGGCCCAGGGATTCCCCAACCAAAAGGTCCCCACTTCACTGCCCATCCATGTCGCTTGTGCTCTGCCGAGATATGTGTTGAAGGCCTCCTCCCAAAGGTGGTGCTCTGGAAGGTGGTGGGACCCTTAGGGGGTGGGGGCACTGGGAGGTCCTTAGGTCATTGGGGGTGTGGCCTTGAAGAGGACTGGAGGACCCTGGAATCTCAGTCTCTTTTGGTTTCCTGCTTCAAGTTATGAGCAGTTTGCTCTGACACACGCTCCCACCATTGTTATCTATGCCCTTACCAAAGGCTCACAGCGAAGGGGCTGGCTGCTCTTGCACTGGAACATCCACAACTGTGAGCTAAACCAATCACCTGAGGAATTTGCTATAGTAATGCACAGCTGACTGGTTCACATGGTTGCTATAATAAGTTCTGCAGGCATTTGGCTTTAAATAGCCTGTGTCCTCTTCCAAATCTCATTCTCTGAAGCCTAGAGTTTGTGCTAGCCTGGATTCCCTGCTAAAAATAAAACTTCCAATTCATACCTAATCTTTGATCTCTTTTTCCCCCCCTTCATATCATATCTTTTCAACTACTTTTGCTGTATATCTGATGATGTTTCTAGTTTTTCTTTATCCTTTGGCCAAGTTTTCTTGAATCTTTCATCCTTTTTCCATAAACCCAAACTCTCATTTGCCAACAACGAAGTTAGCAGATCCTAGATCAGTGAAAAACCCCACTGTCCCCCCGTCTCTTTAGCAGGACCACTTTCAGCTGTGCTGCTGAAACAGCGCCTGGTGTGGGCTAATCAGCCCTGACTCTCACTCAGCTGTCAGGCCACGTTGTAATGCGGAAGAAGACGCACGCACTGCCATGAAAACCTGCACCAGGCGTTGTGGCTGCACATCCCTCCAGCTGCCTGCCCTGAAAAAGCTGATTTCAAGGTCAGTAGGCAGCCTACACTCCCTTCTCCCTCTCCTCTCTGCATGCCACATGATTTGTTTACTTATGGCTGAAATTCTCCGTCTACAGCTAAGAATGTGGGTGTGGGATTTGTTTTGCTTTTGATGTTGGGGATCCATCCCAAGGCCTTAGGTAAGCTCAGCCATGCTCACCCACTGAACTGTACCCCCCAGCCCGGAATATGATGCTTTTTGTTTTTGACAGGGTCTTGCTATGTTGCTCAGGCTGGGCTCCAACTCCTGATCCTTCAGCCTCAGCCTCCCAAGTAGCTGGGATCGCAGGCATGCGCCGCCATGCTTGGACCAAAGAGTGTGGTTTTGAGCTCAGTGCTGTAGGTGAAAATCCAGGCTTAGTCTGCTGCTGGCTTTGTGACCCAAGGAGAGTTACACGACTCCTGCGTCTTTCTTAGACTCCACATCTGCAAAATAAGGATAGTGCTGCCCGGGCTGCAGCCTTGTAGGGAGCCAAGCAGAGAGAAGCCATAAGGCCTGGCGCATAATTCATGCTTCATTTTATTGTTCTTTTTTAAATTTTATTTTAAAACTTGAGGCTTTGTCGTACCTACTACAATTTTTATTTCTTTGTTTACATCTTAGGAGCTTTCACTAATTCATGGTGTATTTCCTATTGTGAACAAACTTCAAGTGCTTCCCTTAGAGCTCTTTGAGCTCAAGGGTCAGCAAACTTCTGCAGTTAAGGACCTTAGCATAAATTATTTTGTTATTGCCAGGCATAAAATCTGTCTCAACTACTCAATCCTGCTTATTCAGGGCAACAGCAGCCCCAGGCCAACATAAAATGAGCACGGGTGTATTCCAATGAAACTTTATAGACACTGAAATTGTAATTTCATATAACTTTCACGTGCCATGAAATATGAGTCTTCTCTTGCCTTTTTTCCCATTTAAAAAAGGTCTAAACCATTCTTTGCTCATAAGCCCTACAAAAATAGGTGGCAGAGGAGCCTGTCCCGGAGTGGTGGTTTGCTGACCTCTGCTTTGAGCCTGGAAGCTGGGCTGGCTAAGGGAGGAGGCCACAGGGGCAGGAAGGCGCTTGGGCTGGGGCTCGGTTTCCGGCAGCCGTCGTCTCCTGCTGGTGTCTGCAGAGGGCCCCAGCCACGGTGCACAGAAATCTTACAGAAAGGAGAGAATTCCGCCTCTGAGTCAAATGTCTGTTTCTTACTTCTCTGAATTTAAAAAAATTCTATTAACTTTACTACTTATTTATTTAGTATTAAAATGGTAAATCAAAACCTTGGGACATGCAGAACCCACTATGTATGATTTTCACTCATGACTTGTTTTTTCTATTCAAGTTTTGTTTTCACAAACGGTACGTTTACTATAGACAGAGCTTAGATGTATTTTCCTGGTCTTCTTTTTACCTAGTGCAGGTTTGCAGGACGTAATGAACGCATGCATTGTAGGCAGTTGGTACGTGTTCATGATGCAGCTTTATTCTTTCCCCCTCCCTCCTCCCTGCCTCTTGTCCTCTTCCCGTTTGCAAAAGATCCATCTCCCTGAATCCTCTCATCCGCCCTCACTGTGCTTTCTAATTTACTTATACTTTGGGTTTCTCATGTAAGAGAAACCATATGATATTCAAATTTTTGTCTGACTTATTTAACATTATGGATGCATTGTGCATCCCTTTTCCTATAAACAATTCAAATGTATCCTTCCTTATAGCAGAGTAGTACACCAATACATACAAATATCACCTTTTAATCCATTCATCTGTTGATGGACATATAGGGTGGTTACAAAATTTAGCTATTAAGAGCTGCACTGCTATAACATGTGTTTGCATACATCATTGTAATATGATGTCTTGAACTTGTTCAGGAAGATGTCTAGTAGGAAAATAGCTGGGTCAAATGAATTTCTATCTTTAGTCTTTTGAAGAATCTTCATTCTGATTTCCATAGTGGTTGTACCAGTTTACGTTCCTACCAGCAATGGAGAAGGGTTCCTTTTTCACCACAGCCTTGCCAGCATTTGCTATTCTAGTGGTACCTTGGTTCACAAACTTAATTTGGTCCACAATTCTGGGAAAGTGGCCCCATTTGTGTTAATGCAAAAAAGATGGCCATGGTGTGTTCCTCACCCGATGTGGAGTTTACAAACAGAAGCAAAATTTTCCCAAATGCTTCTGTTTTTGAACCGAATTGTTCATGTGCATAAGCATTTGTGAACTGAGGTACTAGTGTATTTGATTTCTTAATCGTGGCCATTCTTTTTGAGGTAAGGTGGATCTCAGTGTTGCTTTAATTTGCACTTCTCTATTGGACAGAGATGTTGAAGATTTTTTTCCTGTACTTATTGCCCATCTGTACCTCTTCCTCTGAGAAGTGTCTGTTCATTTCTGTTGCCCATTTTAAAAATTGAGTCTTTATTTTACTGAGAGATGACTTTTTTTTAGTTCTTTATACATTCTAGCTATTAATCCTGTCTGAGCTGTAGCTGGCAAAAATACTTTCCTGTTATGGAGGTTGTGTCTTCATTCTGTTGTTTCCTTTGCTGTGCAGAAACTTTTTCATTTGATAATGTCTTAGTTACTTTTCTTGTTGCTGAGACAAAATACTGAACACCTGAAGTTAAAGGAGGAGAAGTTTATTTAGCTCACAGTTTATAGAGGTTTCAGTCCATAGTTGGATGGCTCCACGGCAGGGTAGCATGGCAGAGGAGAAACAGTCAATGGCCAGCAGGCAGAAGCCTGCCTTCCCTCTCTCTCTTTATATTCCATCCAGACTGTAAGACAACTATACCCTGGGTGGGGCCTCCATTACCCACACCCCTAACCCTAGTATCACACCCTTGATCCACATCCACACACCTTAATCCAGCCACTTTCCCAGCTGCCCACCTATGAGCATGAGGCTTTTGGGGGACATCTAGATACAAGCCATAACAGAAGTAACTCCATTTGTTGATTCTTGATGTCATTTCTTGTACAATTGGGCTTTTGTTTAGAAAGTCCTTGCCTATATCTTGTTCAAGAGTTTTACCTATTATATCTTCCAGCCGGTTAAGTGATTCTACTTAATATTTAGATCTTTGAAACATTTTTTAGTTTATGACATGGTGAGTTATATAGGCCTAGCTTCAATCTTCTGCATGTGGATAGCCAGTTTTTCCAGTATCATTTGCTAAAGAGGCTACTGTTCCTCCAGTGTATATTTCTGGCCCATTTGTCAAAGAAAGATCTCAGGTGGCTGAATGTGTCTGGGGTTGTTTTTGCATTCTCTATTCTGTTTTATTGATCCACACATCTGTTTTTGTGCCAGTACTGTGCTGTTTTTGTCACTGTAGCTTTGTAATATAACTTGAAATCTGGGGTTGCAATACCTCCTGTTTTGCTCCTATTATTAATGGATTTCTTTTGTTATTCTGGGGCTCTTCTGGTTCCATATGAATCTTAGGATTGTTTTCTCTAGTTCTGTGAGGGATGTTATTGGTATCTTGATTGGGATTACATTAAATCTATATATAAGTTTTGGAAGTATGGCCATTTTAACAATGTTAGTTCCGCCTATCCAGGAAGAGGGGTCAGCTTTCCATTTTCTGATGTCCTCTTTGATCTCCTTTTTCAGAGTACTGTAGTTTTTGTTGTAGAGATCTTTCACTTCCTTGGTTAAGGTTAATTCCTAAGTATTTAATTTTTCTTGATGCTATTGTGAATGGTATTGTTTTCATAATTTCCTTCTTGGTGAGATTATTGGTGTGCAGGAACACTTGTGACTTTTGTGTGCTCATTTTGTATCTGCTATAATGCTGAATTTGGTTATTAATTCTATTTGTTTCAGTTGAGTCTTTTGGTGGAACTTTTGGGGTCTTCTACTCAGAGGAAAATAATTTGACTTCTTCCTTTCCTGTATGTATCCCTTCATTTCTTTCTCTTGCCTGGTTCCTCTGGCTAATGTTTTGAGTCCTATATTGAATAGGAGCAATGATAGTGGACCTCTTTGTCTTGTCCCTGATTTTAGAGGGAAAGCTTTCAACTTTTCCTCATTTAATATGATGCCGGCCATTGGTTTGTCATAAAT